CTCTGGATAAGCTATTGTTTAATCAGCCAATGGCGCGCAAATAGAACTGAAAATTCAATGATGCGTTAATTCAAATATTCCATTTTGATTTTTCATCATTTTAAATCAGCAGTTCAAGTAACTTTAAATTAAACACCCATTTTGTGTAGGTGCTTCTGGCTCTGATAAGTGCGGAAAATTGCTTTGAAACTGATGCACAAAATTTGTTGATGAAATGCACTGGGATTCTGTTTCATTCTCAATCAATATTGTAGTTCTAAGTACAGTATTTCGAAATCTTCAATAAATTTCAAAGAATTTGATTCCTGTCCTGGTTAAGTATGATTATTTTCTCTTTTAACGGGAATTTCCACCGTAAAGATATAAGTTTACAAAAGTTCATTTTTTGGATGCCATTTTCACTTGGGTGTTGCAATACTTTTGTCCTGGTAGTGTACAGGGCCCCCAAAATACAGGGCCTCCGGGGAGCGATCCTTTTTTGCAAAAGCTTTTTTGTTTTTAGTCTTTAGTTTACTCCCCCACCACTTTCCAACTTAAGTCAGGCTTCTGTTTCAATTTATTGAAGCGATCTGTATGTACAAAACAGCAGGATTACATAGGAGTTTCCAGATGTTATCTTGATAGCAGAGTAGAGTATCAGAAACCAGCTGTTTCAGACAAGGAATGTTTGAATCAAACTTTGATTGGGTTTTACGTAACTGTTTTTCGAGACAAAGAGGATTTCCCACTGCACTTCCCACTCAACTCTAAGTTCGTCACAAAAATTCTACATTTATGTATTTAAAGTGTTTTCAATGATTAACTCACAGTGAATCACGTGCCCACCAAAAGCTTTCGTTTGTTGTCATGACAGGTCACGATCACGTCAGCAAAACAGAAACCATAGCAACAACGATCGCTTAAACTAACGTCATTGATCCTGAAGATTCATACAGTTTTCGCCCAAAGCACACGTAGTTTTTAAACACAAAGCAAAAATATCTTTCCAGAATGTAATATACTTTCCAGTGGGTAGCTTTATTATCTTTACATTCCAAGAGAGCTTTTGTCTGAGGGAAATGCTTAATTTCTAGCTATGGTGTTAATAAGACAACCGTGTCATCTTTCTGGAGGTGCTCTGGAGATTTTCAAGAAAACATGCTCTCAATGCTGTTGGTCGAGACTTTAATTATTATCTCGGAAGAATTGGTCTTGCCATGTAAATGACAATTTAAAACCAACTTCACTCTGTCGCAAAACACACTCTGTTGATTATAACTGCAGAGTAATCTACCAAAATGTAATCACAAAAACAATTTTATGTGATATCAATATTTGGACCTTGAGTTTTGGTTTAGCCAAGTGATTACTGCCAAATTGTTACTGTCTTAGGCCAATAACAGAGGCTCCCAGAGGGTTAGCTAGGACAAAAACTCTAGGGTCACTAAAAATCTCAGAACGTGTTTGATATGTGCTAGCTACATTGTTACGACATGACCTCGTTTGGAATGAGACTCGTTTTAGAAAGACATGCCTGCTTTGTATTCAACGTATAAAGAACGAGAGCATGGAAAGTCGAAAAGAATTAATTTTATTTTTGCGAATTTTGTCATTGACTTGACTCGACTCTGATATTCAAACATCTATATTACACTTCTATTGTGTCATTGAATTGAAATATTGACACGTGTACATAGAGCCCTTTCAATCATGCTAACCAGGGGTCAATTTACCCTCCCTTCCAAGAGAAATTTTTTTCGTACGAAACTAGACTATTGTTCCTCTTTTATCAATACAAAAGCTTTGATCCTCAACTCATGTTTGATCCCCTTAGAAAAAGCTAATATGGTTTATGCACTTAAGTTCAAAGAATGTTGGAAACTTTTGGAAATTCGAAGATATTAGTGCAAGGAATTTTAAAAGACTTTTTTTAAACACTCATCATTAAATACTAAAAATGCATATTTCCAAAAGTTTTTAAAAATATTGTTTATGTTTCAAGACATTCGCAGGTACGAAGATAAATCGAAAACTATAAAAAATATTTATTTGCCTTAAGACACAAATCGGGAGGGTATGAAAATGGAAAAAATATGTTACGAAAAATTGTTAGGTATTGTTATTGCCAAAATTGCGTGTAAACTAAAATTATCGAGTAGTTCCAGCAATTGCCAACTGCATTAAGAGGGCAGATTTTGCTTAATGCTAAAAGTTTTTTGCATAAGAAATGAGAAAAAACTTGTCAAAATGGTCCCTTTGCTGGAACTGGCAAGCAATAAGTCTGGATCACCGAAGATATTATAACGCCATTATGAAATACTAGGTTTTGCAAAATTAATCATAACATATAGTAACTATTAAATTTTAAGCGATAAAGAAAGAATACCCTATTTATAAAAAGATCTTACCATCATTGGGTCTTCCTGGATAGATGTTTCATGATTAAAAATGTAGATTGGGTAAATTTCTAAATTTAATGACATTGCAATACTACATATGTTCAATAAACCTTCTTTGACTCTTAATATTTTGATAAAGCATTCTTGTGTGAAAAATTTCTTCGAAATGCATAGCATGGTTATTAAAAAAATTGAATTTGTTTAGCGATCTCTGAAACGTGTCCAAGGTCATTCGACATGGCCTTACTGGGTCATTCAGCTTGTGTTCATACTTCGCTGATATATGCAGTAACATGCAAAGTTTTTATGTTTTTGTGGTTATAACTCAAAAGTGAAAGTTTTTCAATGGCAAGCATTTATTGGGAAGACTTAGACTAAAATTACATAACGAAAAGACTGCGCCTTTCTGAACAAATTTACGTTATGAAATTTAATCAAATCAAAAACCATTTGCTGTTTGTGGTATTTTTTCAAGTTCCAATTCTTCTCAGTGTTCTTTTCAATTTTTCTTTTCTTCTTCTTCTTCTCTGTCATCTTCTCCTTTCTTCTGTTATCCTTCTTTTCCTTCTCATCTTGATTTCCTATCTTCTTTTTTCATTATAAATCTCTTCCGAATAAGATTTGTTAAATGTATACGAGTTTAGCAATACAAATAAACTCCACAACTGCAATACAAGGCAATATTCTCATCAAGATAATGGTTTTTTTAATAGTCTCAACAAACTTCCAAAAGAGAGAGAAACTTTCTCACTTTTGATGACATTAAAATGTTGAACTCGCTGCCGGAGGAATAACACATAACAAAAACTTCATCTTTGCAAATAAAAGAATTACACAAAGAAATTGAAATGCTTAATTGCATAAAGTTTCTCTGAATAGATACATGGCGGCGTTAATACACTATTTTCTAATTCTATTGTGTAATTACATTACTTCTGTATTAGTATTATTTCATCTTGTTAATGTTTTTGTTTTGATTTTAACTTTAAATTAATTTCAGCTTCTTCGGGTACTAGACCTGCAAGGTAAGTCTATCTTCTCTTAAGATTGTCTTATTTTTCCTCTTTTAAAATGTTCAACACCTTTACATTCTTTGATCTCTAGCATCTCAGGTTCCTAGATTCCAGTCTACTAACCTCTTTTTAACCTCTATTAGTGAAGATAATTTGCTTAAAAACTAAGGTCTACAGAAGTGTAAAGCTTTCCACCCTTTCCTAAGGGAGGTAGCCTCTCCAACCCTCTCAAAAACGGTACAAACTTTTCGTGCGAGGATGGCCCAGTGGTTAGGGTCTCATCCAAGATTCAAGGATGCGAGGACGGCTCAGTTGGTAGAGGCGCTGACTAGAGAACCTAAGGGTCCGTGGTTCGAGTCCTGACCTGACCAAACTTTCACCCAGAGTGAGGAGAGTCGCCAGTTCTCTGTAATTCCAGGTGCAGGAATCACGAGGTGAGGTCACATCGAGAGGAAGGACCAGGACACTGCTCAATACCGCATACTGCATAAGCTTCTCAGTGTCCTTAAAACTACCTTCAGATGCTAGGGAGAAACAAATACAAACTTTTCTCACTTTAAAATTGCTTTATACAATATTTCTTCAAGGGCCCTCATGTTCTCTACATTCCTCTTGTCTTGGGGAAGCGAGCAATTGTATGTTAATTAGGGGAAATTGAGCCCACTGTGTTTTTGGATTTAAATGGATGGAAGTTCTCAGACCCTGAAGTTCAGTGTCTTTGATAATTAAGTATAAAGGGTGTTTCTAGATGCCAAAAAGTAAGAAGGAAAATCGAAATTATAAAAGTAATTTCTATTTATACCAATAATGCAATGAAAGTTAACCTGATCAGAACAACATAACCAAGGGAATAATTTGATCCACTTGCCAAAGTATTTCCGCATTGGAAAGAAATTTTATCATGACGAGAGAGTGCTGGATATAGGGCAGAAAGGAGGGGGTTATTTTTATCTTTCAATTGTCATCGTTTTTAAACGTTATTGGGCATCGTAAAGCAGGCCAGATTGACAAATCGAATTTTAAATTATTTCAGGGGAGGGGAACGTTAGCAGATAATTCAAAGGGGTGAATTGATACATTGGCCTTGAATGCGTATATTTGATCGAGATGAATGTGGGAAAACAGGGACAGGATTATTTTTATCCTGCTTTCAAAATTTCTTTGCGTCGTAAAAGAGGCCAGATTTTCATAGAGGATATCAATTTTTGAGGGGGATTTGGGGGGTGGGGTGAATCTATGGGTTGGATCTATAGGGGACTGGCGAGGTGTAGGGGGGGGGGGGTTGAAAAAGAGATTTCTTGTTCACAATTAAATTTTTCGAGATCAGGCCACTTTTTGTGAAACGCAATTCCCCTGCCCTTGGTTCTCATAGCAGGGTCGCTTCACCCCCTCCATTTTCTTTCACTTACTCATTAATTGAAAACATGCTATTTCATGAAGAGAAGAAAATAATCGGTCCGGAAATTTGCCAAAGAACAGGTTGCTGGGTTTGAATATAACCCTTTTGTTAATTGCAGTTTACTTCCTGAAGTTAATGACATTTTTTCGTCTCCCACTCCGAACAAATGTGTTCATCCGGGACCTTTAGAATCCGTGAATTCATTATGACGTCATAAGGAAAGCTATTCCGACTCAGTAACATAAAGGAAACAAGAGTTTCGCCTCGGGATTAAAAATCCTGAGCGAAAAACGACGCGGAAAACAGAGTTGAATGCTTTGAAAATACAACAGAGTTTGTAGAAATATTCTTTGTAGAGACAGGTAAGATGCCATTATTTTGTTATAGCGTTAAAGTTCGGTTTTAAGCTGTTGAAGACTTCAAACTCAAAGCCAGTTTAGGCCATGCCCTTAATCGGTTGTTGATGATTCACGATGGTTCAGGAATTATGTTGTTTTTATCGAGACATAGGAGAGTCGTACAGTTTTCGGTAGCATATTGAATCGCAGAATAGTTTCTTTAGGGTTTTAAGAACCATTTTGTTCGTTTAAAAGGAAACAAATGTTCTGAAGAAACCGTCTAAACTTCAAGGTAGGCCAACGGCTCAATATGTCCGTTTTTTGTTTTCCTCCCGTTAGTCTAAAAAGATTTCAGCAATTTCACTCGCGATCGTTGAATAAATTGTCTTAAAATCATATTAAACATCAGTACTAAAGTTATGGTTAGAAATTGGTAGTATTTATTGCCAGTTCTTGACGGATTTTTCAAAATAAAAGGAGTTGGGAATCCATTTTGGCTGGAAATTTCATTGTTTGTCAAAGAGACAAATAACAAAACACGCTGTTGTGAAGGGAAGCTATTTTCGCTGGACCTCAACCGGTTTGAACCAGCAAGACATCGTTTGGACAATATTTTACAGCTTTCTTAACATTGGCAGTGTCAGATGTTTCTGAAGCGCGGTGCTAGTTAAAAAACCGAGATTTAAGAAGCATTTTATATTAGGCCTCTTGCCAAATTTGTTTATGAGGCGATGCTGTTGAGTCACAAGCCAAGTCCGACAATAACCTTTCTATTTCCAGCCGAGAACACAGTGATTTTCATCAAGGATTTTTATCCAACTATGTGATTTCGTATTTATAACGGAAATTGAAGGATAGAAGAATAAAATGCTTTGTCATGATGTTGTGGTAGAGCGTTTTATTTAGGCCTGAAGTTCATCGACTAAATGGTTGAATACTTTCGTGGAAGTTCGAAAGTAGTTGATAACATCATGTTTTTGATTTACCTTGAGGGGGAAATGAAGCAGATATCAAAACTTTGAAAGTGCTTTCTCTTTGTCATTTGGCTGTATTTGTTTTGACACAGCCGCTGTTTGGCTTTGATTGTAATCGTGAGGGGCCATCGTGTTCAATGTTTCTGTAAAAGTCCATCTTCGTTGTTTGAAAAATCACCAGTCAAGGATTCATTCTAGTTTCATAACTTACTGCCCAAACAAAAGCTATTTCTTCAGCACGCTGGAAGGTGTTGAAGGCTTTTTCAAATGTTTTTCTTCAGGTTAGCTGGTGTCACATGACATTTGGTGTGGTTTTACTTTCTATAGTGCTGTGATGTTAGCGTGACGAACCAGCATGTTTATAAGCACAAAGAAATCTTTGTAATTACTGACAATCAATTATTGTTTATCATTTTTTCAAGACATTACCTCCAAAATCCCAAATTCCTCTCTTCATCTGCCTGTCCTAAACTTTAAACTTGTCTTATTGTTAAAAACACAAAGTTTCTTAGATCTGAAAACCTGTTTTGTTCTTTCACACAAAAGTTGTTTACTTTTCAAATAGCATAATTGATAAATTTAGTTTACAGATTGGAATAATAAAAGCAAATTAATCTTTAATTTCTTGATTTCATGTTCAGTACTGTGGGAAAAATTATAAACAAGTGGAAAGGGAATCTATTTACTCATATTAATAATTAAAAGATTCAATTTAGTGTAAAAGAGAAAGTGTATTTTATTATATATATTTGTAGAATGAAATAAGGCATATTTCAAATTATGTCCAGGGTGAATTTCAGGAACATGAATGAATCAAATACAATTTAGTCTGAAGTACTTTGAGGGGGCTTCTTATTGGGGGTTTTGTTGTCCCTAAACAAGAAATCATTATAAGTTGTAAAAGCCCATAATTCTTTATGTCATCAAGTGTCAGGAGGATTTTGCAGGGGGGCTAAAAGTCCAGGGCCCTTGTTTTCTAAACTAAAGGTATCTTTACTTTGTTACATCACAGAGCTTAGCCTCCAGAGATGGCCAAGAACAATACCCCCATTTGGCATTATTACCCTTCCCTTTTGAGGTTTATCCAAAAGAGCTCATTTAAATGATACTCTCATCAGTCAAGCGCTATTACCCGAGGCGCAACTCACTCTTGTAGATAGCCTACAAGATTTTTTCAAAATCAAAAGAATTTCCAGGGATTTCAAAGTATAACAATAGGATTTCCAGCAAAAATGCACAATATTTTTATAGAGTGATTTGCCCCTCACCTGCCCTTACTTTGTTTAAGCGAAACTTGTCTTAACCAACCATACACCATTGCAGATGCATGGCATCCTAATTTTTGATACAGGGCCATGCAATTATGTTATTAAATTGCATATTATTCAAGGAGTGGGTTGTTTCAGAGCAGTTATATAGCACTTAACACTGTAATGACAATATTAATGCAATTTATAGCAATATGCCATAGAGATTGAACAGTATTATTGGTATTTATTGACTGTAATAATTTCCAATAATATCCTTGTAGTATAAATGTATAACTTTAGCAATAAAGCTATGCTATTAGATTCTGTTTATGCTCTATTCCTCACCACCAGAAACCTAAGTGAAGTTAGAGTCACAATAACTAAGCTATCTGTAGAATGTGAACCAAATCAGGTCAAGCAGTAGGTTTTCTCATGGCCCTGGGCTGGACACTTGGTCAAATATTGGGGGGAGGGGGGAGGAAACCTGTTGTTTTGATAAGATGACATCACATTTCCCCATTGTTTTAGAACAAAAGATCATTGTCCTCCAAAAAATTTGGGGGGGGGGGAACCATCCCCTCATCCCCAGGTATCCGTCATTGCTGGGTCTTGAACCTAAGCAAATTTGCTAACTTATGTTGGCCCGGCTTTACCTTGACTTCCCTTAGTCACCAGGATTTTGAACATCCTACAATGCCCCCCAAAAGTAGTTGAACACCGAGATTGTACTTGTAATAAATGTACTTGAGATTGTACTTGAGCCCTGTAAGGTCCGTTACAAAATTTGTATCCAATTTAGAATCAAAATTAGGCAATTTTTGGTTTACATGGTCAGGCAATGTCTTAATATTTTTTGATGTAGATGTGAAAATTGTGGGCTCAGATATTTCTTTGTCCTGTTTTTGTTCCTTGTATTTTTGGATATCAGCCAGTTTTTCCAGTTAGAAACTAGGTTTCTTTATCAAACACAGGTTCTATCTGCTGGTCACCTTAAGATTGATCCCTAGCAACACAATAGATTGAAAAGAAGCTTTTGTGTCTTTTGAAATCTTTATGTTGTAGATTCAAGCTGGTTAGGAGAGAGTTTCATTAATATCACAGTAGGAAGACATTGTTGAATTTAGGCTGTTTGGTTCAATGTAAGCCATATTAGGTATGATTCCCACATAAGGCTGTTTATTTGTCCAATATGGCTACCATCCACAGTAAGACCAGGGGTCTCTCAAACATTTTTGTGAATAAAGAGGCAAACTGATTTTTTGTTTACAGTTAGTAGCTAGCCAAATCCTTGATATTTCCACACTAGGGTAGACGCATCCTAATTATTCCCACCTTTAAGTTGCTCGCTAACACAGAGACCTTAGAGAAATTGATAGAAAACATATACATTCTAATTTTATCTGATAGTGACAAAAGAGTTGGTTTTACTTATTTTTTGAAATATTTTTCATGATGTCTGATTTCTTAAATCCTGTAAATTTCTATTTCTAAAATGCATGATTGAATTCATTAGAAAGATTATAAATTTTTAACATTTTGATCAGTTTCTTTTGTTGTCAGAACAGGTGATCTTTCTCATTAATTTGTAATTACACATTTATAATTTAACCATCAAATCATTTCCTGTCATTCCTTTATCAAAATTTAATAAACTCCTGTTTGTGTAATTATTCATAATTTTACATTCCTTTAACATAAAATTTTAATTAAAACTGCATTTTACAAATACAAAAATGAATCATAGAAAATAAACTAAACATAAAGCAAAGATACAAGAAAAACTAAACTAAATAGCAATTGAAAGGAATTTCATGTAAAAGCAAACCAAAATCAATTTTTTTTCATTCAAGCAGCCGTTAATTACAATATACATGGAATATAAATACTAGATAACTAGCAATGATTTAATAGCAACTTTAAGAATGTTTTAAAGAGAAATTAATTAACAAGGAATAACCACAAATTTCGATCTAATGTATTAATATATGCAATGGTTACTTTAATAGATCCCCCACTTAGATTTATTTATTTTCGTAAATTAGACTAAAAAAAGAGAAAAAGAAGAAAATTGAAATGAAATAAAAAGAAATTGTATGGTACTTAAGGAATGGTATGGTACTATCACCTAATTTGATGCTAAACCAGGGCTTTTTCTGCAGGGTTTTTAATGGAAGGGTAATAAGAAGACTTTGGACTCTATATATGGGTGTATTGCTAGGGGGCTCCATAGGGCAAAGCTCCCCTGTCAATGCCAACAGCAGCACAGATTTGCTTTTGGCATTGTTTCTTGAACATTTTTCTCAATCCCCCCCTTTTCTTTCCATACCACTATGCCTCCACTTCATTGAATGGTAATGGTCCACCATTTGAAAGGAGGCTGTACAACAATGGTGGACCCTTGCCTTCCTACAAGCTGTATCCCTTTATCATAAACTAGGGCCAGTAGCGTCTCAGCTCGCCATAATTTAAAGAAATCGTGGCAGCATCTGTTTCATTTTGGAAAGAACCAGCATTATATGATATGTCCATAGGTTTGGTCAATTTTGTGCAATTTTCATATAAAATGCAAGACATAGAACATGTGATTATAATTTCAATCATTTCTTGATTTCAGATAAAATTAAAAAACATGGAGGGAGAAGCAAACCAAACCCAACAACCTACCCCCTGCAAAACCGGATGTGGTTTCTATGGCAACCAGGCATCAGACGGCCTGTGCTCAAAATGCTATAAAGATGCAGTTAAACAGAGTCAAAATGCTTCCCAAGCAGCGGCAAGAAGTTCCCCAGGTAATATTGAATTGTTTTTATATTGTATACTGTCAAGTGACAAGTATAAATACTCCATCAGTTCAGCCACTCCAGTCACAAGTTTTTTATTTGTTTTGGTGTTATTTTAAGTTTGTAGTTAACCAATCAATTGGACTAACAGTTTTTTAGTGATATCCAGGTGCCAGACAAGAAAATCTTTTGAGCTCATAATAACTGTTTGTTAATTGACAGGTCTAATTCAAGCAATCAGATTGTCCAGTAGATGGTTTTGATTCTGACAAGGTTAAGTTAAGATTAAAGTTTTAGTTTGAACATTAATTGATAAGCAATCCTATTATTTGTCTGTAGCAACCACATCCACGTCGACTACCCAGACTCCAGACCTCACAGCCTTAAACCAAAAGGAGGCAGCCATTGCAACATCATCAGAAAACATCTCCGCTAAACAAACCGTTGAAGAACCAATACCAGATATCTCGTTACCTGAAGCAATTGCAACTAATTTAGAATCACCGGAAAAAGGAAAGAAAAAGAACAGATGTAATGTTTGTAGGAAGAAAGTTGGTTTAACAGGTACATGTCTGTTTATTGAAGTTCTTGTCTGTGTTTCATCTATTTGTTTATGCTAGTCAATACGAGTGTTCAGTTAATCTACTCTAGTGTCTCTAATAGACAGGCCCCCTGTGTGTATCAATTTAAGAAGAATTTGCCCTTCCCCCATCGCTTATTAGTACCCCCTTCGATTAAACTTTACAAATCTGTCATGACCAGAACACAAAATTTTCACTTGTCAATAATTCCCCTTGGTATGTTATGTTATGTTATATTATCAAGTAACCAGTGTCACCATCCTACTAATTCCATTGCTTTACAATTAAAAGATTTACCAATATCCACTCCTTCTATTAGCTCCCCTTTGCTATTTAAATTTGCTGACATTTTATTGAAAATTGGCCAACCTGAACACCCCCTTCTATTAGCAACCCCCTTCTATTGAAAACTTATTAAAAATTTTTTTGAAATGAACACCCACTTCTATAAGCACCCCCTTCTATTAAAAATTGGCCGAAATGAACACCCCCCTTTTATTGCCCCCCCTTCTATTAGAAACACTAGAGTAAGGCAGTTTGTCATCTATAGTTTCCTGGAGTGATCTGAATTGGGATTGCATAACCTGAAAAAGCATCATGAAATACATAAGCCAGGCTCTTTCCCTCATCACTCATTTTTCTAAATGTTATTGTTCTTTCTCTGAGTTTTTATTTATGTTCTTTTCCAGTTTCCTTCTTTCCCTCTTCATTTACCCTCTTCCTCACACTTCCATTTTCCCTTTCCATCCTTTGTTATGAATTTTTCATTATCTCTGGTGGCTTGTGTTGTCCTGGTTCTGTCTTTTGCCTGTGTCTTTGTATTCCACATTTTCCTGTTTGTTTAATATACCTACCTGCATATTGTCATTCTTTGAGCTGGTCTGTGTAATACAGATGGCCTTGTTTCAGTATATCTTGTGCCATGTTAACTTGATACTTGATTGTTTTCACATTTTGTGCCATTGTCTGTGCCCCTTAGTTTTGCCAGTTCTGTATTTTTGTCTTTTTTGTCCCTTTAGGATTCATCTGTAGATGTAACGGTCTTTTTTGCGGACTTCACCGATATTCCGACAAACACGAATGCACCTTCGATTATAAAGCAGATGCCAGAGAGCAAATAGCAAGACAAAATCCGGTCGTGGTTGGTGAGAAAGTTAAAAAGATTTGAAAAGTTATATTAAATGACGTTTGCTTAGTTTTCAACCAATGAAGTGCAAGTGTGAGGGCATTAATTTGCATAAATTTGCATATAGTATCATATATTATTGTAAATATCTATGCTGGTGTCATCGCCATTGAAGTATATCAGTTATACCATAATGTGAGTTAATATTTTGATGTATGCTTGATAGTAAAGCGGTATTGCGTAATTATGGTATGAAATTCATGGTCCTAAAACTTGGATGTAAATTCCAAGTGATTTATTTGGGGCTACCAAGTCACTGCTCTTGGTTTTTGGGTCTACGATTTCTGGCATTTATTTTTTGATGTTGATCCAAGGTCTTAGATTTTTGGCCTTTGATCCATGGCCCTAAATTTCTGGCCTTTGATCCATGACCTGCGATTTTCAGCCTTTGACCTGTGGCCTTTGACTTTTGGCCTTTGACTGATGAACTTCGATCATTGAAGCTTGAGGTATAGCCTTTGACTGGTAGCTGATAATTCACTGTTTTTGCTTCTTAAACCATGATTTGCAGACTTTGATTTCTAACCTTTCGCTGCATCAATAGTCAAAAGGACTGTTTAATGGGTTTGGTTACAGATGTGTTACACAATTGAGTGGAATCGTAGATTTGCAGGATAAGGTTTAGGTATATGGTATGTGCCCTTAAGGCCAATGTAAGATACCTAGAAAAGTACAGTATTGCTTGTTGTGTTATTGTTTTGTTGTGTAGGAAAGCATTTTGAAGGGTCGAAATCTTCCCGTCAGAATCGCCTCCACAAGCAACAGCCAGGTTGTCATTCCATGCATCACTGCTTTGTTTATTATCAAAACAGTCAGTGACAGTGGAATAGAGTTTTCCAATTTCCCTTATCAAAGTATAAACATCCATACTTTCAGAACCAAGGCTTGAGCATTATGACATTTAGTAATCCAGTGATGCAATAGCCAAGAAAACATGCAAGCTGGGCCAACCTATATTTGTCATACAAGCCAAGTTCTGTTGATATCATTTGAAAAACATACATTGCTCCTGCTTTGAGGCATGGATATGCGTAAATTAACAACCCGCTTGGAGCTTGGATATGCCTATTAGATGCAACACAGTGACCTATTTTACGAATGTATCAAAAGTAAATCATTAGAATTAAGGAGGCTCGATTCTTAAACAGGTTGCTAGCACGTGTATAATTGTAGCACGCTGTTGTTATGGTAATTTTTTGAAAACATGGCAGCGTTGCCGAGGACCATTTACATTGATTTTAATTAATATAATTCCGTTATGTGTTACCGTCACAACTGGGGGAGCAACTTTGGTTTGGGACTGCTTCATTTCTACCCTAGTGTTACTAAAGGTTAGCCTCACCTTAATATACAGATTAAGCTTTCCTTTCCATTGTTTATTTATGTAACTAAAGGTAACTCTGTGGTAACCTGTGTTTTTTATAGTCTGTATTCACTTTTATGACCTTCCAGTGGTAATCCATGTTAATTTTCCACTACATCATCAATGGGCCTTTTGTAAATGCTCTCCTGCTTAGAACGTCATAGCTTTTAAGTCTTTTTGTTCTAGAACTGCCTTGGCCATTCCCCAGCTCCACAAGCCCAATGTACATAAAGTTTCAAATTCAAATTCAAATTTCTTTCATTAAGATACATTTTTACAGCGTGTTTATTAAAAATATATTTACTTATATTGTCTTCAACATCAAGATAAATTAAAGAATTATAAAGAGAATTCTCTTCTGGACAGATCCTAGCAATGTTCCCAGATTGCCAGACCTATCTCTTCTATTTAATATTTTCTGTCTCTCAAAGTCGAATTCCAAATCCCGTTTCCTTCAAAACTGCTCTTGGGGTATTTTCCCCCTTCAATCTCCTGGGTTACGATTCGAAGCCGGGGGCATTTACCTTGCCAAAAACCGAAGTTGTTCTCCTAAATTCGCTTAGTTACTAGATATATTAAATTAAATTAGGAGTGTTTCGTTTTTGAATTAATAGCGTTTGTTGCATTGTATTATTAAAAAGAGACTCTTTCAAAATGGCCCGCCTACTGTATCAGTTTGAGGCCAGTACAGATGTCGTGTAGCCTCTTTTTCATTCTCTGTTTATGCGATTTTCTCAAATTTTGTTGTGATCAATAAGGAGAGCTTGCTATTTGGAGGTTCTGTTCTGTTTTTCTTTCAACTCATGCAAAATTTAAACCAAACTTCAATTGAAATTCAGGCTATGGTATGCCAGGAAGAAAAGAACGATTGGGTTAGGCCCTTGAGGAAAAGAGAGGAGGGATTATGTAGGGGGGAATCAAGCTCGTTTATTTTTGTTTTGAATAAAGACATGTTGTTAGAGTCTGGGAAACAGGATGGGGGTAGAGCCTTCCAGAGTTTACTAAGTCTAGGAAGGGAGGAAGAGTTATGGGATTGAGTTCGTGCGTTTGACAAAGAGACTTGGAAAGGATGTGCACTGGAACATTGATTTGCTAAAGAGTAAACCTTTTGTTGTAGAGCAAAATTAAGACCAGAATGTCTGCAGAAAAGCAATTTATGAGTAAAAAGTGATAAAAATCCACACTGTCAAAATGACGATACAATACCCTATGAAAGTTGAAATATTGTATTTTCTTTGTCATGTCAGTTTTGCTGACAAATTTGGAAGCTGTAGTGTAAAACATCACGTTCCTTCAATATTGTTCAAAAAACAGATTTTTGAGTTTAGTTTTAAGTGATGTAATTGAATTGACTACTCTAGATTGAAGAATAATCCACATGAGTTTTTTGGGTGCTACCCTTTCGAAAGAAATCTTAAATCTCTTTACACCTATTAGTGCCAACGTTGTTTCTATTTATATACGACATCCATTCAGATATTATATACAAAAAGTTTACTCAAAAAAATTTGAAATACAGTGCCCGATCTTCCAAGGATTCGTGCCGATCTGATTTCTGTTGGCTCAATAGGTAAAATCTTTGTTCTTTTAAAATCTAGCGAATGAATTCATGTCTCTAATAGATTGTGGGATATTGTTTCAGGTAGTTAGGCCATAGTGCAAAAAAACCTCTTTTTGTGTGCTCTAATGCCCCCCCCACTTATCCCAGGCTGGAGCCGCCGCTGAATGAGATCCTTCCTACTCCTTGTGTTATATGTTGATATGGTAGAATTTTGCTGAACTTACTCTTTAGGCCTTCAAGGCAAAGCTGATTGACAATTTTATAAGACAGTTAAATAAATTACAACTGTCTGAATGAAGAAATTGACAAGAAACTCAGCTTTGGATACAGATTTGAATTCTCAGGGAAGCCAAAGTCTAATGTTTTTTATGTTATTCCTATAGAATTTGTTAAGAAGATAAAGCTACACTTTTATAATTTTAACAAATATTTCTTTGTGGAAATTTATTCGTTGATTCAAATATTTCTATACGACGCGGAGGAGCACCCACAATGCATTGCGCTAACTTGAGTCTTGTTCAGGTCAGGGTGAAGGAAAAAAATGTCCATGATTCCTTTTACTTGGCAATGTGAGGCAGAAAAACCAAATATTATCCAAGCAATGATGAAGAAATTGTCGAAACAGTTAAAAAAGGTACGGTATTGCTGTTTCTTATCATTTTAAATGACTTGTATAATGTTTCTGCTATACTCTGGTCTAAAATTTCTTCTAAAAAACTTCTTAGGCCCAAAGCCTTGACAAGTTCGGATTTCAATATTGTCTTCAATTGCACTATTTTTTCTCATTTTGAAATTTTTCGAATATTTGCGAATAGTTCTAAAAATAGTGTCATTATTGGCTTTATTTTATTGTAGAATTTGATGTTATTAATGTCATGCTAAGGTTTAGTCTTGAGCAACTTGTTGAGAAAAGGAGGCCTCTAAAAAAGCAACACACCAAATGTTTGACCTTGACTGAAAAAATGATTATTTTTCTGTTTTACAGGATGTGGATGGTATGCAAAAAAAGATCCAACCTGAAATTTGTGGTATTATGAAGAGCAAAGTGGAAAAAAACAGAAAAGTCAAAGTCAATTGATTTTGGAAGAGCAGAATAACAAAGAGGTAAAGAATTGTTTTCTTGTAATATTTTTTGCTGAAATTAAATTTTCTTTTCTTGCTGCATTTTTTAATTCATGAGCATTCAGTATTCATTTAAGCTTTTTGTGTTTTGCACAGGGTGGCTCTAAGTTATATAGTATATATATTTGTTAAATAGGAGTTGCAGCTTTATGCTCAATGCAGTCATCAGGTAACTTAAAAATGACATTTAAATTAGGCAGTGTAGAAGTGTATTCAAGGTTTTCTGTGGAATCTCGAAAACAATATTTGTTAAAATTATATAATGTAAAGAGAGTGTAAACAACTGACTGTACATTCTGTGAATGAGGAATGGGTAGCAATTTATGATTTTCGATTTGTTTCAAAGATTTTTTGGATGACTTGCTAATCTTTATTGAAAACCTGTGCCAGTCATTCTTTTTTGAGCTGCAATGCCAATTTCAAGGTTGTCTGATATAAAAAGTACTGTTATTCATGGAGCAAGCCCCCATCTTTGAATAAGCCCTTATTCAAATAAATCTGCACCCTAAAGAAATTTTTGTTAAATAAGCCCCCACCTTGGAACAATCCCCCCTCTACTTGAAATATCACATACTTATGTCAATTCAATTTTAATTATGATTTATCTGTCAAGACAATTTTTAACAGAGTTAGACACAGCCGTTGGTGCCTTTGGTATTCTAAATGAAATCTCAATACCTTGGGGCTGTTTACAGGTCACGTCACCCCAAACTTTTGTATCACTATCAGCTTTTGTCCTTCTTTTTTACAAGATTTTCTTGCATTTTGTATGCTATTACCACATCCTGGGTAAGATAGCAATAGACCTATTTTCACCAGAAACAAGAAAGGCAAAGCTAAAAACATGCCTCAGTTATTAAAGTTCTTTGGAAATACTTGTTTGATTTTAAAATTTCTGTTTACTGTTTTGAGAGAATTGAAGCACAATAAAGATTGCTTTATTCTTTATCTCAAATAAAAAGATGGTCCCTGAAATTAAACGGATGTGGCTCAAAAATGTGATGACAGCCCCAGAATATTTAAATACCTTTTTGCCCATCCTCTCAACCACTCCTGGGCAGTTTAATGCCTAGTAGAGATAAAAGGCCTGCAAAATTAAATCCAAAAGATCATAGGCTGCAAGGTTGAAAAAATGTTCACATAAATCACTAAATATTGTTAAAATTTATGATCTCTTTCATATGAAAACCTTGAAATTTATGTATCCAAAACTACTTTTTTATTATTCTGAAGAGAAGACAAAACTAAACTATAAATTATTATGAAGCAGATAAGCATAGCCAATGGTACATGTATTTAGGGGGCTTAGTATGAATCTTGTTAGAATATTATTGATTCATTGGTATAAAACTGCCCTGTTCCCTCTAATTTTTCCTGATTAGAGGGGAAAGGGGTTGCAGCCCCTAGCCCATATATTTCCTACAGCTATGGTGCCATAATACATCCTTTTAACAAAACACTGAAGCATCGGTCTGGAACAACTTTCACCATTTTAAAATCTATTCTTAGCTATAAAAAAACTTACTAAGCAAGTCCAGACATAGTTATTGATACATTGTGTAATTTCGATATTTCGTTGTTGAGTTAGAAATCTGGTTTTGTTAAGTTTAATTTCAAAGTCAAAGCTTGACAAGCCCTGTCTGTTTTGGGTTGCACAGAATACAGATTTTCTGTCAAATTTTTTTTCATCAACTCATGTTGCCTGATCATTGTGTTAAGCATGAAAATTTTAATTGCAACAAATCAACTCTTTGGAAAATTTTTTATAAATCACAGTGCTTAACACATGCTTTCCTTGTAAACAGTACCCTTTGTCATCTCCTTCCTTTTCCTGTACCCCATCCTTTCCCTTAGATTCTTTTTTCCATTCCCACCAACTGCTCCAATTGTCATGATTGTGACAATGACCCTGCCCTCCTTCCTTCCTCTTACTGTCTGCTTCCTGTCTTGTCATTTTTCTTTCCTACCCCAATGTTCCATATCATCACACAATCCCTTTCACTCTCTCCCTTTCTTTTCTCCTCCCCTATCTGCCTTCTCTCTCTAACCCCTTTCCCATTTTCCACTTTTCATTTGCTTCCTCTCTTTCCAATCTCCCACTTTTCCATTTTTCCTCTTCCCCCACCCTTACCCTTTTACATCAGTTTCTCAACTAGTCTCTTATCATCTGACACTCTTCAAAATGCAATATTTGCGCAGTGTGCAAGTTTTTAGAAAACAAACAATAAAGTATCTTTTATCTGGCTACTCATATAGAATATGTCTTATATTTATTTATATAATTCTTACAGTATAGGGCATATAGATGTAAACTTCCTTTTTTCCTCATTTGTTAAGTTATGTTTGTACTTTGAGGAGTGTCAGACAAAAAGCAACAGAGTTTCTGCTTTTCTATCTTCAAATTTTGCAGTACCTTGTTTTTAAATCTAGTCTATCATGTGTAATAAATCGATCATGTTTTTACTCTTATCAAACTTTGTTTCCACTAGGCAATGAGTCATCAAACCATGCTCACTAACCTGGAGTTGTTTGATCAGGGACTCAGCTGACAGAATTTCAACAAGATTGGAAGGTGAGCTACTATCATACAGATATCATGCTTATGTTATTTCTTCAGTGTTATTTTTTTCATAATAACGTGGTACTGATTGGACAACTATACGGGTCAGGTCACATGCTTGCGTTTTTCTGATTGGCCCATTTCAATCCACAACTGGGTATACATTTTTTATCATGTTCTTTCGGAACTTTATTCTGACGTTTTATGCTCTGAGGAGTGTCAGACGAAAAAGCTTTAAGTAGTAGGTTGTGAAACGTTTGCTTTTTTCAAAGCCATTTTCAAATTTTGTAGCACCAAAAAATTGTTCTTTTGCTAATACTAGATCGTTCATCAAGCTTGAATATTTTCAAACTTTACGGAATAGAATTATCATCAAAAGGTTGTAGAAATGATATAACGGTTTTTCGTTGTTGTCATCTTCGCGTTGTGTAAACAATGCACGAACAGAAAACAATGAAAATCAATGCTTCTTTGTTGCTATGTTTTGACTGTACATGGATTGGAATTTCAAAAAAATTCGGCCTGATAACTCGAGATCCAATACAGAAAAACAACGAAAAATGTATCAACTATTGTTTGTTTGGCAGAAACGTTCTGTTGTAACGGTCCTTTGAAATTTGCTGAAATTCCATTGTAACAAAAGGAGCGTTTTCACCTATTTTCGAGGGTTTGAAAAAGATCTTTTAAATTTGCCAAAACAGTGTACCTTCCAATATTTCGAAATAATAATTTTCAGAAGGTTTGGATTTTTGCAGTCAGCCCTATATCTGTTTCAAAGAATGTACCAAAAAGTCCTTTGAAAGTGAATTGCCTTCGTTATTGCTAAGTCATTGACCATGTCTGGTAAAGTTAACTCTCGAAAGTTACCATGGAATTCGGCTCATAAAAACACCCTCTCTTAATCAATCCTTAACCCTTTACCAACCACAGATTCTCTATCAAGGTTAAAAAACTGTTTTCACATATTGGGGACCAAAACATTTATTTTTTTAACGTTTTATTCATCTATTGCTGGAATAGCTTATCATCATACTCTAAAAAACAGAAAGTTGCAAAAATTATACTTAATCATATTATACGATATAAGAATCATATTTTACTGTTAATGTTCAAGCTTGATGTAAGGTTTTTGTTGATGAAAAATAAATGGTAGAGATCATCCGAAATGATATTTTATTCCTTTGTTTGACAAATCTTGCAACAACTTAAAGATAACAACTTTCGTACTGGCAAAAGAGCAAAATATTACTATGGACATTTTCTTTTTAATGTAAATTTACGTGTGGTCCATGTCTTATATTGTATAAAACGTACGGTTTCGTAAGCTTACGTAGCTTTCTTTGGGTCAAACATAGAACATTGTAATCCATTTTCAGGCCTTTTTATTTTATTCCACATATTTTTCTTAAAATGATAGTTTATTAAACATCTAGTGGTCTGGAAATCTAAGGTCTTTATTTTGATTTCTTCATTTTTGTCTGTCGATACTCTAGAAATTGTTTGTTTAGAAATTATTAAATTCTTCTGGAAAGGATTTGAGTTTAAAAAGAATCAAGGCGCCAAGTTTTTTTAAGATTCTGAAGACTTAGTATTTTAATTTTTTTAAAGCTCGATAACACAATTTTGTCCATTCTTTGGTGTTTGAAAATAGGGGAGGAGCTGTGCAACATAATTTACTTTGACCCTAATTCATCAACCACCTTTTGATCAAAGCGATAACATAGTTATAAGCCATGGCTTACAAAAGGAGTTACTTAAAAATAGTTACTGTTTATGAAATTTAGACTTGTTGTGCAGACAGGCGGTCATTTGTATTCAATTTATGCATCTAATCTTTTCCAGGAAAGCATGGCCATGTGTATCTCAAGGAAGTCGTCCCCAAGCCCTCGATTCAAGTGATTTCATGGGTTGGTTATCCTGGCCAGAGTGATAATGCAATTAATACCATCTGATGACGCGTCGTTGATTATTTTTGGTAGGTGTTTTTATGGTATCACATTTGAATATATCTTTATTCATGGACCTCTAAGATTTAAGGCTTCCTTGCATTAAATTTCTTTGAACTTAAAAACCTGCTGCAGTTTGTTATTTTCACATGTAAATCAGCGAGGAAAACTTTGAAGAGCAGCGAATATTTTTCGATAAATTATGGCCCGGTATTTGAGAAATTCTCATAATATGTTACCAGTTTTTTCAATAGCCTTCCTGAATTTCCACATGCCAGAATGCCTTTTTGCTGCTAATGACAATGTCCCCTGGTTTGCCTATTCTTTTTTGCTGAAAAGCCCATTTAGAATTAGTTTCATTATGGTGCTTGTGCTCCAATTGTATTTGACAATTGGATCTGCTTTCAATTCAGCTTTCTCTGCAGAAGAACCCTATGATAGGCCAGTTCTATAAACACTCTCTACTTCGAACAATCCAATTTCATTTTAGTCCTGGATCTTCAATACAAAAGTTGGTAATGGTGTCACTTCTGCTTTTGTCTTTGCCATTCAAACCATTTCAATTGCTTTCCATTGCTTGAGGTCACCCGTGAAAGTTTCTTTCTCAGTTTTCGTTTCAGTACCTATCACCAAGGTCGCGAAATGCTTCAAAATATAACCAGAAAACTGCCTATTGGCATATAAACTTTTTATTCCTTCTCTCAGCGACATGATTTCTCTTGTTTGGTCACTGTTCTGTTCTTGCCTGGGTTAATTGCTCGCAAACGAGTTACTTTAATCGACATGAAATCAGAAATTGTCCAATGTGGGAGCCTCATGGTTGAAATGTTGTAGGCTTCAGTAGAGAAGCAAATGTTTACAACTTTTAGGCATTTGAAATCGTTATTAATTATTTGAAGAATTTGATGCTTTGTGATTTTGAAAGAAATGGAATCCCACAGAAGATTTCTAGTCCAATATTCATTATGGTTTGATATTGTTTTTTTCTTGTATTTAAATAAATTATCTTTGTTTCAGAGCTTGGCTATGGATTTTAGAGTCTGGTGTGAATTCTTGCCGAATGCGATGCTAGATTGCTGTTGCGATGCTGACGAATTGCCTAAAGATGTTGACAAGAGACACATTCACCCGATTGAAATGACAGTTGTATTTATAAACAAAGGTATGCTGTTTCAGATATTTTTTGTTGCCTTTAGGACATTCTTTTAATTTTGAGCAAGATATTTATAGAGAGCCATTATTATTTTGCTGCAAAACGTCTTCGAGAAAAAACGTCAGTTTTGTCTTTATCATGAAATGAAATCAGTCTAGGAAATAAAGAAAAAGAAATAAGTTGATTCTTCTTTTCAAAACGGTTCTTTTTACAAATGTTTGAAACAATTTCATTTATAAGTCTCGTAGATGTGAATTCCAACCTTTTACTTTTTAAAATATACTTACAAGTACTAAATAAGAGCCTTTTCGTGCAAAAATAAAATATTTGTTTGTCTCTAAAAAACGGGTTTTCAAAAAACTATTCCCTACAAACACTTTAGCCAATATTTAGTTTTTTTTTAAAATCCTACTCTTGATCACAATTACAGCATTTTTATTTTTCAACTTTCAAAATGGCGGATATACTTAAAAGTTTCTTGTAATTATTTTACTAATTAAGCAAACAAACTTCATTACTAATTTTGATAAAATTGTTTATTATTCATTTTCATTAGTCATTCATTGTCTCTTTAATTGTTAATAACAATTGATCAATTTATAAACATTTATATTCTCTTAGAAAGTTTCTCTTTTAATGTTTTTTAACTATATTTTTGGATATATAAAGTTTGCAAAAACTTCTCAATTATAGGCTATCTCTTTTAATGTTTTTTAACTATATTTTTGGATATATAAAGTTTGCAAAAACTTCTCAATTATAGGCTCTCTTTTAATGCATTTTAACTATATTTTTGGATATATAAAGTTTGCAAAAACTTTTTAATTAATTCCTATCTTAACTTAATATTTTCTTTTAACTTAAAAATAATATCTTTGTTTACTTTTCTTAGTAGGCCTTAGTTGTTGGTAGCTACTTTTGTAGGCCCTTTTTCTAGATAAAGTAGGTAATTTTGGTTTTTGAAACAATAGAGAGAACAATAGAGAACAATAGCGATGAAACAAAAGTTTAAGATAGGTTTTGCCTACTCCACCCCTATTGTAGAATGGGATCTGGTCCCATGGGATTTGTCCAGTTCCTCAGCCCCTTTGTTCCCATTGTCTTGGTTTTTCGGTCGGCATTGTTCTTGGAACAATAACGACAGAAAAACCAAAACAATAAGAACAAAGGCGCGTGGAACTTGGACTTCCCAGGGACCAGATCCCGACGTGCAAGTCGAAGATCCAGTTCAAGAGAAAATGCCAAGATAACAACGCAAAAAATCATTAACAACAATCAAATTAAGTTAAATACTCACAATTCTAAAAAACTACAGTAATACAAGTTTAAACAACAACAAGGAGATGAAATATAACTTGTCACACATGTTTGAAATGCAAATTTTTACATAAATTGCCTTACGAAATCTTTCAAATACTTTGTATGGCTTGCTAGGTCATAACTGCAGCAAATAAATAGGTTTAGGGGGAAATTTTGTATGGTTACTTAATGTGGGGTTCTTGATAATTTTGGGTTGACTAATGGAAAAGATGATGCATAAATACAATATAATTACTGAAGGGGCCATTAATCTCTAGAGGGGGGAGGGGGAGAGGGTTTGCGTGTCATCCAATCAGCAAAATATTTGTGAAGAATCAAGCTTATGATATTTGCGACGACAACATCGATGCCATTTTGTGATAATTTTAATTGTATAAATAAGAAAACTTATTGTCTGAATCAATAAAGTTGGATGGGGAAGGGTTCGCGTGGTAGGCTTTCAAATTCTTTTACAAAGAAACATCATCGGAATTTGTTGTAATATTTTTAACAATCATTGAAGGAAGCAAAAATATGTTCTAATACTACAAAAATACTACAGAACTATTGGTAATTTATCAAAACATACCAAAAATAGATAGATAGTAATAGATAGATAATACAAAAAGAGGAATATAGCAAATTATAACAAATATGTGGAAACCTGTCTTAGTATTGAAAAAAGAATATATCGCCCTGAAAATGTTGGTTTCTTTTACGCTAGTGTGAAACCCAGCTCCTCCTTTTTGTACCTAAACGTCTAGAAAGCTTATGTAATTCTTTTGTCCCTTTTCGATGAATAATTTGAGAGCTGGATACAACAAATTGAGTTGAGATTTAAAAAAACACTTTGCACAATCTGGGTTTTCCAGCTGCCCGATAGCAGAATCGCAGGTTTTAGTTGTAATTTTAGATTTGAAAGACCGAGGTGGCTGTTCTCTTTGGGGATGAGTTTTGTTTCTAATACTAGACGGAACATGTTGTTTTATCCTATACCAAAATCTTTGGGTAGTGCGTCCTACGTTGCCAGAATCAAACTGGCACGTAAATTCATAAACAACGGAACTTTTTTTCTGACTCTCAAATAGCAAGGAACTGTTTTAAAATTCTACTTCAGCCAAAAATAAAGCTTCTGATCATAAACAGCGGAACTTTTTTGGTTGGTAGGAACGCAGTCCTTTTGAATGGACGGAAGGGCCTTTTTCGTACTATAAACAATACGAGGATTCACAGCAAAGAAACAATTTGTGATGGCCTGTTTAATCTGACTCTCAAATAGCAAGGAACTGTTAGCGATCCAGATAAGTTTTAAAATTTTACTTCGGCCAAAAATAAAGCTTCTGATCACAAACTTGCCAGTCTCTCATTAGTGCTCGTACTGGTCTTTCGGTGCGTAAATTTCCCAGGCTCTGCGCTTCTTGAAAATGCTTATCGTCTGTCCCGCTTTCGATTTTCCCTTCAAATCTTTCAGATGTTGGGTAATCGCTTGAATTTGCGACAAGGTCATTCTGTAGGAAAAAGGAAAAATGTTGTTAAAAATAAGGCCTATCTTTTAAATCTTTAATGGTTTGTAAAAAAGAAGAAAATAAAAAGCCCATTGCACTAGATGCAAGCGGCAATGTTTTGATACTAATTCGAGAGATTTCGATAATTCGATAATTTTGAAAAGGAAACGTCTCGATAAACTGGAAAGAAAATGTTCCAATTTCAGAGTATTTCACCAAAGGGGCTACGTTCTAAGAAAATTTAAAATAAAATATTCGAGAGAGAAAAATCGAAAAACGCGATAATTTTGAAAAGGAAACACCTCGATAAACGGGAAAGAAAATGTTCCAATTTCAGAATATTTCATCGAAAGGGCTTCGTTCTAAAGAAACTTAAAATGAACTGTTTGAAATAAGGTCAAAAAACTCGATAATTTTGAAAAGGAATTCTTCTCTATAAACTGGATAGAAAATGTTCCAATTTCAGAATATTTCATCGAAAGGGGCTACGTTCTAAAGAAACTTAAAATGAACTGTTTGAAAAAAGGTCGAAAAACTCGGTAATTTTGAAAAGGAAACATCTCGATAAACTGGAAAGAAACTTAAAATGAACTGTTTGAAAAAAGGTCAACAAACTCGATAATTTTGAAAAGGAAACGTCTCGATAAACTGGATAGAAAATGTTCCAATTTCAGAATATTTCATCGAAAGGGCTGCGTTCTAAACAAACTTAAAATGGACTGTTTGAAAAAAGGTCAAAAAACTCGATAATTTTGAAAAGGAAACATCTCGATAAACTGGAAAGAAACTTAAAATGGACTGTTTGAAAAAAGGTCAAAAAACTCTATAATTTTGAAAAGGAAACGTCTCGATAAACTGGATAGAAAATGTTTCAATTTCAGAATATTTCATCGAAAGGGCTGCGTTCTAAATAAACTTAAAATGGACTGTTTGAAAAAAGGTCAAAAAACTCGATAATTTTGAAAAGGAAACATCTCGATAAACTGGAAAGAAACTTAAAATGGACTGTTTGAAAAAAGGTCAAAAAAC